TTTTTAAGCTTCTAAAAATTGTATTAATATATATTTATCACATACAACATGATGTTTTGAAATAGGTATACACTGCGGAATGGCTAGATTGAGCTAATTAATATATGCCCCACCTCACATACTTATTTTTGTGGTGAGAACACTTAAAATCTATTCTCTTAGTGATATTCAAGAATACAATGTATGGTTATTAACTATAGTCGCCATGTTGTACAATAGGTCTCTTGAACACATTCTTCCTAACTGAAGCTCTGTGCCCTTTGACCAACATCTCCCCAAACCCACTAAATCCCCCAGCCCTAGGCGACCACCTTTTGTTCTCTACTTTTATGAGTTCAACATTTTACATTCCACGTATAAGTGAGATCATGCAGTATTTATCTTTCTGGGTCTGGCTTATTTCACTTAACACAGTGTCTAAAATAGATTCTTTTACATAAATTTAAGGCAGAAGGCCTTGCTTTTTAGACAGTTTGAGGATTATTGAATTGCTCAAAAGTGGCAAAATATTAAATAAAACATGGCAAAGAATTCAAACATTCTCAAAACCATTCTTCTGTATATCAATTGTGGTGTGATGAATATAACACAACTTTCAAGCAAATGTGTCACTAGGTGCTGATTGGGCCAAATGGATTTGGCCCAGGCAGCTCCGGGGCAGCCTCCTCCTCTTCAGTGAGTTTGGGCTCAGGTGTGGCTTTGCTGAATGTGGACCTGAGTGCAAATATTTGCTCCACCACTTAATGGCTTTGCCAGCTCTGTGACCTGAGACAGGTCACCTGGCCTCCTTGGGCCTCAGCTGTGAAGCTTAAATGGGATAAGTGTTTGGCAAGTTGTAGGTGCTCAATAAATGGGACCATCATTAGGTAACATGAGCATCAATTGGAGAAGCTGCTCTGCCTGCTGCTGTCATGAGACCTCCTCCATGTCCCCTATGCATTTCAAAGCCAAATAGCTCAGATTTGGGGTAGGCAGCTGTTTTGGACCATGAGGTTAGTTTGGGAAGACTTCCTGGAAGAGAGGAGTTTGAGGTCAGGTCAAGAAAATGGGAGAGAGGGCAGGCTGAGCAGGGTAGGGCTGAGAGGCTCAGAGCCCTGCCTGTCCTTATCCCTAGGACTGCGCCCGGGGCACGGCCAACTGCGTGGTGTTCAGCTGCCCACTCTACAGCTTTGACCGTGTGGCTGTGCTGCATGTCTGGGGCCGCCTCTGGAATAGCACCTTTCTGGAGGTGAGGACACCACTGGGGCTCCAGTCTGGGTTTCTTCTTCCCCAATAGCCCCTCTGGAACTCGCTTCTCCTTCTACCTCCTCCCTGTCCAAATGCAGCATACTCTCAACCCAAGCCAGGGAGAAACACCCTCTGTGCTGGGCACCATTCCATTTCAGGAGGGAAGGGGAAGGTAGGGAGACTGGGGCATTTAGCAGGAGGGTCTCCTTCCCTTCTCCCTTAGGAGTACTCAGCTGTGAAGTCCCTGGAAGTGATTGTCCGAGCCAACATCACGGTGAAGTCCTCCATCAAGAACTTGGTGCTCAGAGATGCCTCCACAGTGGTGAGCTCCAGGGCTGGGGGGTGAGGAGAACTCTCTTCTTCTCAGCTCCCTCCAGCTCTTGCTTCATTAACCCCTTGCTCCCCAGATCCCAGTGATGGTATACTTGGACCCCATGGCTGTGGTGGCAGAAGGAGTCCCCTGGTGGGTCATCCTCCTGGCCGTCTTGGCTGGGTTGCTGGTGCTGGCGCTGCTGGTGCTGCTCCTGTGGAAGGTGAGGCCTGGGGAATGCAGGGCGGATGGGGGCTGGACTTCCTGGTCAGGCGGCAGCCTATTGCACTGTGGTTCTCTCACCCACCCATGCACTCCTGTGTTCAGCAAATCTGCATTATGCACCTACATGCCTGTACCAGGAACTCTGTTAGGCCCTTAGTGTTTCAGTAAGTTAGATGCAGATCTTGTCCTCGGGGACTTTATAGTATAGTGGGGATGTGATCAAGGCCAAGACAGAAGGTGCCAAGTTGAGAAAATGCAGTGGGAGTTCAGAGGAAGGCAGGCTCGAGGGGAGGTGGCACTGGAGCTGGGCCTTAGAGGAAGGTGCAGTAGTAGGGACTGGATGTGAGGAGATGAGGGGGCGGTGGGGCCTGAGCCTTCCAGATGTCACGGAGGCAGGGAAGTGTGGTCTGACCTAAGTAGAATGTGGCAGTGAAGACTGGAAAGTCACTGTGGCCAAGAAGGCCAACGAGTGTGGAGAACTACCTCCAGGGAACTGCCTCCAGAGCAGAACTCAGAACTTCCTTGTACCAGGCTCCAGATGGAACCATTCTTGTATACACAGAGCTGTGTACAGAATCATATAGGCATCTGGGGCTCCACATAAAAGCACGCACATGCACATGTCAGTACAGGGAATCATATACATCACCAGGTGTCATGCCCTGAGCCACATGCCACATCTGGGGCTGTATGCAGAACCTTGCATGTCCTTGGGGGTCTATGGAGAACTGTCCCCACCCCCAACCCTTTGCCAAATGTGAGTCATCAGTGGACCAGGCTCTGGAGTAGCCTCCAAGCTGTCTTCCAGAAGACTGATGCCTTCGTGAAATGGCCCCAGCATCCCTGCTCCGTGCTTCCATGGAAGGAAGACAGCAGAGATAAGGGCCCTCATCCTTCCTCAGTCTTCCCGTCCTCTACCTCCTTTGTCCCTCTTCCTCCTCAACATCCCAGTGTGGCTTCTTCCATCGGAGCAGCCAGAGCTCATCTTTTCCCACCAACTATCACCGGGCCCATCTGGCTGTGCAGCCCTCAGCTGTGGAAACTGGGGGTCCAGGGACTGTGGGGTAACCGTTGTGTATGTGCATGTGTATGTGTGTGTGCATATGTATGTGTGTGTATGTGTATGTATGTATGAGTATAAGTAGAGCTCCCAGCATTGAAGGGATCAGGAATGTGCAGAGTGAAGAGATGAGCTTGCATGAGAGTGATGAGTCCTGGGAACTGAGGTGAGAGCTAATTAGAAGGGTGAGGCTGTAAGGGTGAGTATACCCTGCCTGGGCACGCACAAACGGTTGGGGTGGCTTGTGGAGCTTGAGCATGTGGGAGTGTGGGGACATCCTATGCACCTTTTTTCTGTGGCATGGGTGTGCAGAGATGAATGTGCAAGGAGACGTGCTGTCTGAGCATGTAGGAGTTGTGGGCAGTCCTAAGTGTGAATGTGTAAAGGGCATGTTGCCACTTTGGTATGTAAGGGCTGGCGTGGTCACGATTTAGGGAGGGACTAGACTACTGTATTCATGGGTGAGAGGCCCTGCTCTAAGCGGGATGTTGCTCAGTGTACACAGGGTATATGTGTGTGAGGCTTGAGAGGCACCGTTCCAGGTACGCAGGGGTCTAGGAAGCCATTTTCTTCCTCAGATCTTGTTTATGTTCTGGGGGACACTACTGGGTCTTCTAAGAAGCTGGGGTGGGTGGAAACCTTTAGAGTCAGAGGTCCTGATGTTCCACCTTCAAGCTGCTCTTTCAGAGGCCAAGGGAGATGTCCTTGGTGCTGCACCTTGGAGCCCTTCCTGGTCTTTCTCTTGCATGAATGAGAAGCTGGGGACCCAGCACTGATGGTAGCACCACGGGGACTGTCCATTGCACCGGATGCTGTTCAGTCTGTCTCCCTTCTGCTGCGACTGGTTCTCCTGTGCCAGGGGTGGTGAGGGCAAGGAGCTGGGCTGTGCTGGGTGTCTGCTCCAGGGACCTCAGTTCTGTGGCTCCTCATGGTCTGGCCTCATGTCCTTACAGATGGGATTCTTCAAGCGGGCGAAGTACCCCGAGGCCACTGTGCCCCAGTATCACGCGGTGAAGATTCCCCGGGAAGACCGGCAGCAGTTCAAGGAGGAGAAGACGGGCACCATCCTGAGGAACAACTGGGGCAGCCCCCGGCGGGAGAGCCCCGATGCACACCCCATCCTGGCTGCTGATGGGCACCCTGAGCTGGGCCCCGATGGGCATCCTGTGCCAGGAACTGCCTAGCTTCCTTTGTCCCAGCCTGGCCTGTGGGTCTCCCCTCCACCCCTTCCCTGGGTGAAGAGGGTAGAGTGCGTTGCTGGTATTTCATCAAGATTTGGCAGGATCTGCTTCCTCAGGGGCACAGCCCTCTCCCACCCATGAGACTCCAGCCCCCTAACTTCCACTTAGGATGCTGTGAGATGAGAGGGCATAAATCCTGGATAGATGGGGCTGTGGGGTAGGGTGAGAAGGGCAGGGATATCCTGACGCAAAGGTGGGGAGAAGGGATCCTAATCCCCCCTCTCCCAGTCACGCTGTATAACAGGACCCCAAGGACCTGTCTCCCCAAAAGTGCCTTAGCCTAAAGGGTTGGGGAGGAGATTGTGTCGCTGACTCAGGGGCTTCTCCCTCCCTAGTTTCCCCTCTCCTCTGACCTTAGTTTGCTGTATCAGTCTAGTGGGTTTTGTCTATTTATTAAAAAATATTTGAGGACAGAACCTCTGCCTTCTTTACTGAGTCTTGCTCCCTCACCCCCAGGGTCTCTGATTCTCCCTGGTGCCCCTGGCCAAGGATGAGGGTGGTAATGGGGAGGAGGGTCAGGTGGCCTGGCAGGGATGCACGTACCATGACTTTTGTGACCAGTTCCTAGAGGCACACAGTGTAGCCTCAGAAGGTGGGCAGGGGGAGCTTCACCATGGGAACAAAGGAAGGGGTGAGTGGGCAAAAGGTGGGAGACCAGCCTAGGAATTTGCAAGTAAGGACACATCAGCGTATAACTGTTTCCTCCCTCTGGTCAGGGTAGGAATAGAGCTTTTTCACTGTGGAAGGAGGGATTGAAGTAAGAGCCTCTCCTGGCAGAGGTGGGGGAAAGCGCGACTAGGGTGGTGGGGGAGTGGCTTCTCTCATTTCTCTACTAGATCCCTCTCTGTGGAAGACAGATGAGGCTGGTGGGTGGCTTGTTTTGACTGGAGGCTGGGGAGGGAGCAAATGATGTCCTTAGGGGCTCAGGGTGGGTATTTCACAGCCTTTCCATGATGTGGGGCCCACCAGGTAGCCATTTGAAGAGAGGGGGCTGTTGTTCCATTTGGATGTCAGAGAACTGGGCGTTCTCAAACTCCTTCCAGGTCTCTCTGACGAGGCAGCAGCTGTCCCCAATGTGTTTCCAGGTGGGCTCTAAAACTTCCTGCCACACAAAGGCCCACGTGCTCCCAGAAAAATAGCACTCCTTCTTGGGAGGAAGAAGAGAGTGAATGTCATTTATCTGTTCCATGCCACCCCTTTCCCCCAGCCTCACCTCTACCTCACTGACCAAGCCTGGTCAAACCTGTTGGTGAAGTGGGAGCTGTTGGTCTGAGAGTTTACGGAGTAAACTGTCCTCCTGACCTTTTCTGCATTCCCTGCTACCCCCCTCCCACCCAATGTGCGTGTACAGAGCCTCGTAACTGAGGGGCGTGGCTGGCTAGAGACCTTTAAAGGCTGGCCAGGACAGCTGAGGGCACACAGAGGGGAGATAGAGACAGTGCACTGAACAGGAGCCGACAGTTCAGTGCACACAGGGACGCACAAACCAACCTCTTTCCTGAGACTCAGATGCAAACATCGGCCGCTTCCTCGACATCTCCCTGAACATCCCAGGGAAACTTTGGCCCGACTCCTGACTAAAGCTGGGGTTTCTCAACCTCTTCTCTCCTTGCTGTGCTTGCCCCAGGTGGTGTCATTCCTGCCCACGCTCTGAATTACCAGCTGCAAGCTGGTGATGTCCAAATCCTTACCTCCAGGCTACATCTTTTCCTGACTCTCCAGTCTGGACTTCTAACTGCCTATATGGCTTCTCTGTTTGCCTGTCTCGGTAGCATCCCGGACCTAACAAGTACAAAACAGTTTTCTTTCGTCTCAGCAAATGGCACTTCCACCCACTGCCCCCTCAGTCGCTCATTCCAGAAACCTGGAAACCATCCTAAACTCCTTTCTCTTCACACCCAGCTCAGAAACTTATGGATTCTACTTCCCCTAATGTCTTTAGGACACTCTTTTATTTTCTCTGCCCACCCCCAGATCTCAATTTAAATGTCACTCCCTCTGGCGTCCTCCCCACCCCTCCCCCTCCCACCGTGGTAGGTGATTCTTCTGCTGCTTCCACAGCACCCTCGGGTGCCCTAGTGGCACTGGTCATGCCTCCTGTTCACCCACAGGTGGGAGTGGATGGAGTGTCTGATGCACTTGTACGTCAGATTCCCCATGTGGGGGCCTGAGCCCTGGGATGACTGATGCCCCATGCCCTCGCCCTCGCCCTTCCCACCGTGCTCACTGGCATCAGCACTTGCTGAACCTCCTGCAGGACCTTCCTCGGGCTCTGCACAGAGCACAGCACCAGGGTGCAGACCACTACATCCATGGAGCCATCAGCCAGCTGTTTCATGTCCTCTCCAGGAGCCACCACAAACTGCTCATATTGGAGGTGCCTGTTCTTGTCGCTCCATCAATTAATATCAAACGTGTTTTGGGACAGGATTTGTCTTAAGAGTTTTACAGAGCTTTGCCCTGAAGGAATATGTGAACGTGTTGGTTTGCATTTCGAATGCTGTTACACTCCGAAGGGCGTCTCTGAAAGGCAGTAGCGGCTGCATCCCACGAGGCGCCAAGAATTGGATTTGCTTTGTAAAGCACAAGCGAATCTGTTAAAAACTATAGGCTGAGAGCTGACAATGGAGTGCCCTCTGGAACAAACAGCTTCCCGGAAACGACAGCTTCCGGAATGGCTAAAAGCAAAGCTTTTGTTTAAACCACTCTAGACTACCTGTCTCCATTCACAATAACCTAATAAACATGGAGCTTACATATCTCTGTTTAACCCCTCTGTTTAAATGATAAATTTACCTTAGAATTTAGAAATTAACCTTTGAAAGACTTTGTAACCGTTTGCTCACGTAAATAGAATCAGTTAAAGAATCTGTAGAAGCCTTCTGTAAAAGCCTTTTGAAAATCTGTTAACCTGAGAGAAACTACCTGCTGTTATGTAAATCTGTTACCCCTGACAATTGTTCACTATTTCCTATAAGTTACCATGTAAGACCTCATTCGGGGCTTTTGAGACCAACGGAGAGGTCTAAGCCCCCTGAGCTCCCGCTTTGCCTATAATCTTTATAAACTTATAAAACTGTATCTTTGTCTCAGTGTATTCTTTTATTTCTTCCATTTTCCATTTCTCTCTATTATTTTCTTATCCCTTGCAACTCTACCAAAGGGACCCGGGTTTTTGCAGGGAACACTGGCCACGTTCCTGGCATGTTCTCAGCCATGCTCTTTTTTTTTTTTTTTTTTTAATTTCCTCTGCCCACCCCCAGCCATGCTCTTAGTCAGGAACTGCTCAAAGTGGGGATTTGGGTCCAAACAGGTGATCATGCAGCCAGGCGGGTAGAACTGGAAGTTGGCACCAGTTCCACAGCCCAGCTCCAGCAGGGCCACCTTCCTGGAGGCTCCCTCAAGCCTCTTTATTTGGCCAAAGAGCTCCCGTTTCTTGCTCTCCATCTTGTGGTTGCTCTTGGCAGTCAGCAGGGCCCTCAGGTAGGGGAAGCAGCTTTGCCATCAGGTATTGGGGCAGGATCAGGAGCAGCACCAGCAGCTGTAGGAGTTGGATCAGGATGTCTATGGTGGACCAGTCCTGAGTGGTGCTTCTGACGGGGCACTGGACTCTTCTCTCTGCTTGGCCTCTGTAGGCACTGGTCTCCCCTCCCTCATGATAGGACTTTGCTCCCTGTCTCCTGCTTGGCAATTTCTTGTTCGCCAGGGTGGAGTGGGTGTATGGAATTCTTCCAGGTTCTTCAACAAGTTTACGTGGGCAAAGGGACAGGTGATGCCAGTGTTCCCGAGTTCTGGGGCACTGTGCCCAGCTGAAGTGGGGGTATGTGTTGAGTCACCTCAGAGGGGAGCAGGAAGGGGAATGGGATATGTTTCAGATTGCAGACTCATGGGGCCAACTGCTGGGGGCAGAGCTGAATCATCGGACATGTCCTGGCTTCATTCTGTTCTCAGGTCAGGCACTTCAGAGGGCCAATCAGAAAGGAAGGGTGGTCTGATAGAGGAAAAAGCAGGTGTAAAGGACAGAAACTGCCTGCCTCTTTCTGGAAAGGGCGAGAAGTTTAGTTTTGTGGAAAATGGAGTGAATTGGAACATGGCGTGAAGTGAGGAGTTGTCACTCCTTAGAGGTTTCTTTTTTTTTTTTTTTTGAGACAAAGTCTCACTGTGTTGCCCGGGCTAGAGTGCCGTGGCGTCAGCCTAGCTCACAGCAACCTCAAACTCCTGGGCTCAAGCCATCCTTCTGCCTCAGCCTCCCGAGTAGCTGGGACTACAGGCATGTGCCACCATGCCCGGCTAATTTTTTCTATGTATTTTTAGTTGTCCGATTAATTTCTTTCTATTTTTAGTAGAGACAGGGTCTCGCTCTTGTTCAGACTGGTCTCAAACTCCTGAGCTCAAACAATTCTCCCGCCTCGGCCTCCCAGAGTGCTAGGATTACAAGCGTGAGCCACCACGCCCGGCCTTTAATACCATTTTTATTTCTCTAGCTTACTTTATTGTAAGAATACAGTATATAATATATATTAATATAACATACAAAATATGTGTTAATTGTTATCGGTAAGGCTTCTGGTCTATAGTAGGACATTAGTAGTTAAATGTTTGAAGAGTCAGAAGTTATATGCAGATTTACAATTTTGAGGGGGTCAATCCCCTAATCCATGTGTTGGTTGTTCAAGGGTCAACTTTACAGTCACATGTCATGTAACACATTTTGGTCAATGATGGTCCACATATGATAGTGGTCCCATAATATTATAATGGAGCTAAAAATTCCTTTCACCTAGTGATGTCTTGATAATCCTGATCCTATACAGACCAAGGCTAATGTGTGTGTTTGTATTTTAGTTTTTAACAAAAAAGTTCAAAATGTAAAAAAATTTTTTTTTAAAATAGAAAAATGTTTATAGAATAAGGATGTAAAGAAAAAATATTTTTGTAAAGCTGCTTTAAGCTAAGTGAAATGCGCTTAGCTTTAAATGTTTATCCGTTCAACAGTTGATGGACATTGGGTTATTCCTATAATACTTTTTGGGTATTATAAATAATGTTGCTGTGAATTCTTATCTTAGTTTTATCTTTTCTTTCTCCTAAATTATTAATCTCTTTCCATGAACCTTTCCACATACTAACAATTTTTAGGTTAATAAAATAATAATGTAATAATTTTTAGGTTAATAAAAAGCAACCCTCTCTTGACTCCACATCCCACTTCAGCTACCACCCCGTTTTACAGATCTACTTCAGTGTCATACTTCTTGAGTCATCTGCTCATATCATCTTGATTTCCTCACCTTCTTTTCACTGTTACTCTCCCTCCAATCTCTCACTCTAATAAAAACCGTTCTGATCAAGGCTGTAAATGATTTCCACATTGCCAGGTCCAGTGGATATTCCCTGTTCTCATCTTGTTTGACCTCTTAACAACTTCACAAACAGTTGACTACTACTTCTTCCTTGAAATAGTGTCTCATCTAGGCTGTTTTAACATCATGATCTGGTTTCTTTCTTTTTTTTTTTTTTTTGAGACAGAGTCTCACTCTTTTGCCCGGGCTAGAGTGAGTGCTGTGGCATCGCTCACAGCAACCTCAAACTCCTGGGCTCAAGCGATCCTACTGCCTCAGCCTCCCGAGTAGCTGGGACTACAGACATGTGCCACCATGCCCGGCTTTCTATATTTAGTAGAGACGGGGTCTTGCTCTTGCTCAGGCTGCTTTCAAACTCCTGAGTTCAAACAATCCGCCCACCTCGGCCTCCCAGAGAGCTAGGATTACAGGCGTGAGCCACCGCGCCCTGCCCATGATCTGGTTTCTATACCACTCCCCTGGGTGTTTCTTATTAGACTTCCTTTCTTCTCTTTCTTTTTTTTTTTTGTACACAGGGTCTTGATCTGTCACCTATGCTGGAGTGCAGTTGTGCAATCATAGTCACTGCAGCCTTGAACTCCTGGGCTCAAATAATCCTCCCACCTCAGCCTCCTGAACAGCTAGATATACAGGCATGTGCTATCATGCCTGGCTAATTTCTTTCTTTTATTTTTTGTAGAGACAGGGTCTCGTTATGTTGCCCAGGCTGGTCTTGAACTCTGGGCCTCAAGCTATCCTCCTGCCTCAGCCTCCCGAAGTGCTGGGATTGCAGGCGTGAGCCATCGTGCCCCACTTAGACTTGTTTTTTTAGATCTTTCTGATCTATTTATTCAACCTTTAAATTTTGCTTCTTTGGGTTTGGTCTGGATCTTCCTCTGTCTGTATTATCTCACTAAGTAATCTCATCCTTTAAAAAAAATAGACTTTAATTTTTAGAGCAGTTTTAGGTTTATAGAAAAATAGAGAGGAAAGTACAGAGTTTACCCATATACGCCCCATTGTCCCCACATATGTGAAGCCTCCCTGTTATCAATATTCCCCACCACAGTGGACATTTGTTACAACTGATGAACCTACAATGACACATCATTATCACTCAATCCCTTCCATTTTCATGGTTTAAAATACCATGTACATGCTAATTATTCACACAGTTATCTCTTTGGTGCAGATCCTTCCTCTGAGTTTCAAATTTGCATATCCAGTTGCCTACTTCACATCTTCCTCAGCATATCTTATGGATGTGTCAAACTTAACACATCCACAGTGGGACTTCTGATGCTCCCCAATTCTCTTGTTGCACTCTGTCCTTCCTCTCCCCCATCTCAGAAAATGGCGGCATCAGTTGCTTGATTGCTCAAGCAAAAACCTAGGGTTCGTTCTATTTCTTTTCCTTCTCCTTTTCCTCCTTTTCTTCTCTCCTTTTAAACTTTTGTGTCATGGAGAATTTTGAATATACACCAAAGTTGACAGAATACTGTAATATACCTCCACATAGCCATCATCCATCCTGACAACTATCAACCCATCGCAAATCCTTCCCCAGCCACATCCTCGTCCACTTTCTCCATCCTCCCTCTGTGAGTCGTTTTGAAGCAAATCCCAGACATTATGTCGTTGCATCTGTTAATGTGTACATATACATCTTTAAAAGATACATAACCTTAAAAAAGTGTAACTACAGTATTATCACACCTAAAAAATTCTAACATAATTCCCAGGACTCATTTTTAATTTCTCACTCCCACATTTAAGTTATCCACAAGTCCCGTCAGCTCCATTTCCCAGTCAGATGAGGCGGGGATCAGATGAGGCAATTCCTGGGCCTGGGGCTGGGCCATCCGCTCAGAAGGTCAGGGATAGGGCAAGCTTCAGGAATGGGGCGAGGCTTAGGGTTGGGGTAAGGGTCAGAACCTTCAGTGCAAACATCGTACTTGGTAATCCAAAGTAATATTTTTATATTTTTCAGGGGTGGCTGTTAAAATGCCCTGCTGTATACTGCAGTTGGCAGGCTTTCAGACCACCTCTAGTCTTAGGACATCTCACAGGGAGCAGGGGAATGAAGTGGTAGACCCGCATGTGCCCTCTCCACTCTCCAGAGCGCTCTTCTGCTTACATGTATCTGTTGTGTGACTCCTGCGTGCCACCCTCCTGTGTTCAAATATGAGGTTTTCATATTTCACAGCAAAAATAACTGAAGCCACCAGATATGAATTAGAATGTTAATGACACGTGTTAAGAAGTACTGAGACCTTCTTTTTCCTCCTGTCAGGGGAGAGAGTTTTGGATCACAATTTGGAGCTTGCACCCCTGGCCTGGGAGGGGCTGAGCAACCTATTAGAGCTAATGCGGGCTCATGAGGTCAACTATTCCTTAGTGTGGTCATGTTAAGGTTATGATTTTGCAAGGAATAGGATCAAAATCTTAACATTAGGGGCAATATATGCTTTTTTTTTTTTTTTTTTTTGAGACAGAGTCTCGCCTGGGCTACAGTGCCGTGGCGTCAGCCTAGCTCACAGCAACCTCAAATTCCTGGGCTCAAGTGATCCTCCTGCCTCACAGGCATGCATCACCATGCCCAGCTCATTTTTTCTACATAGTTTTAGTTGTCCGATTAATTTCTTTCTATTTTTAGTAGAGACGGGGTCTCGCTCTTACTCAGGCTGGTCTCGAACTCCTGAGCTCAAACAATCCGCCCGCCTCGGCCTCCCAGAGTGCTAGGATTACAGGCGTGAGCCACCGCACCTGGCCAATATATGCTTTCTTAATATGAAACCAGATTGTTTTGATTTGGGAGAAAAATTAATTCTTGCTATGATGAAGTGTGCTTGCTTTTTAGGTAATTTGTGAGGAAACTGGCTGTAGCATGCAACAACTACTTCATTCATGGAACCAGAGATAGCGATAGCTTCTCTCCAATTCGGGTCTGGTAACATCTGGACAGAGGAGTGATTATGCTATTATTTGTTCAAAATCTGAAGCTTGAACCTGGGTTGAGAGAGGGGAAGGGTCTGCAAGAAACCCTTTTCTTCTTAAAACCTGGGTCTGTAAGGGTTCTTGCTTCTGTGACACAAGGGCACGAGTTATTTAGATAACTTCTAGTCCTCTTATTCTGCGCTTCTCTGTACTAGTTCCCTGGCCTGACAGGAAAGAAACGGTGTAGATCTCCATCACAGCACTGGGAGTGATTCTTTTTCTCCTTGGGGAGGCCTGGAGAGGCACGCGAATGCTAGCAGGGGCTGAGATATGATGGCTGTGGACGGTCACTTCCCCTACCTCTTTGGGTTTGTGAGGAGGAGCCAACACTTGATCCACTGAGCTGCAAGTGGCTCTCCTGGCAAGGGAGAACTCGAGGCTGATTTATCC